CATGCTGCTGGATGACTTACACTCAGGTAATAGAGGTTCCAATATCTAATGGGGCAAATACAAGCAAATAATCAAAAATGTATTTCATTTTCCATGACTTAATTGTTTGTAGCACCGAGATACCCAGGAGACTTTAGCCGTCTTAGACCGTCTGGATCTCGACACTGAGAAGCCGTCGGATGAGGAGGTGGCGCGTAAATTCGGATTTGAGGAGGACTACTACAACGGCACCGTCTCCTGGTGGCAGCAGATCAAACCGCAGATGTGGTCTTTGTTTGATGAGCCTTACAGCTCGAATGCAGCAAAGGTGATATTTAAATGTCGGAATAAAGGTTTCAGTACATTAGTTCGTACCAATTTACTTAAGTCAGTTTTTTGTTTCAGATAATCGGTGTGATTTCAGTGTTTTTTATATGCGTGTCGATTCTATCGTTCTGTTTGAAGACACATCCGGATATGAGAGTGCCCGTTATTAGGAACTATACAGTGACGACGGCCAACCAAACACAAAGCTGGGCGCTGGACAAAGTGCAAACGAACGCCCATATAGCTTTTTTCTACATTGAGTGTGTGTGTAATGCGTGGTTTACACTAGAAATCCTTGTCAGATTCATATCCTCTCCTAATAAATGCGAATTTGTCAAATCCTCCGTCAATATCATCGACTACATCGCAACCATGAGCTTCTACATTGACCTGATCCTCCAAAAGTACGCTTCTCACGTCGAGAATGCTGACATTCTAGAGTTCTTCTCTATCATAAGAATAATGAGACTTTTTAAATTGACCAGACATTCGTCCGGTCTCAAAATATTAATACAAACATTTAGGGCGTCCGCCAAGGAATTGACTCTTCTAGTCTTTTTCTTAGTTCTCGGTATAGTTATATTTGCAAGTTTAGTATATTACGCGGAACGTATACAAACGAATCCCCACAATGACTTCAACAGTATACCACTAGGATTGTGGTGGGCGCTGGTAACCATGACGACGGTAGGCTACGGAGACATGGCGCCCAAAACATATGTCGGCATGTTCGTCGGTGCTCTTTGTGCTCTGGCTGGTGTAAGTACTTTTATTAATCGAATTCAAGGTGATGCAACCGTTTTCACTCACAGTATTATAATACCTAAAACTTTCCACGACGATAAATCAATATAACAATTACTTGAACTTTTTATTTTTGTCATCTTTCTCGTATTTAGTTTTATTTACACGCAGACATTTTGACATGAAATAAATTCTATTTCAATATTTATACTTACTATACTTTATAATTACTATACAGGTGCTGACGATAGCTCTACCGGTGCCAGTTATTGTATCCAACTTTGCCATGTATTACTCACATACACAAGCGCGGGCCAAACTGCCTAAGAAGAGGCGTAGAGTGATCAACGTTGAACCGGCCAGGCCGCCTCTTAGTAAGTAATATCTAGACCCACCCAAAAGTGCTTCCTATAGGCTAAATCATCTATGGAATTTGAAGATTGGTGGGTCTTTCGATTCGCATTCTTTTCTTTTTGGTCTAGTTCAAATAAAGTCTATCTTGTTCCTTTTAATTATTTCCTCTTTATTATTTTTATTTAATTTTCTTTGTAACAGGAGCCCCAGGTGTACCCGGTGCTCCCGCTGGCCCGATGGCCCCTGGCATGGGTCCTCAGGCCGTCAATAGAAGAATGAATGCCATAAAAACTAATCACCCCAAAGATATGATTGGACCTAACATGGGTAAGGTCTCAAATATTTTGCCAACTATAAGTATAAATAACAAGGAATTCAAAGAGCACTGTATCTTATAATTATCAAGCACTTAAGATGAGAGTTTTGAGAGATGAAAACAAAATATTTTTAAATGTAAATACCAATTCTTTTTTAACTCTCTATTAAAAGATTTAAATAATGTTATCAAATTCGAAGATCTTTCCCCCAACGTGTATTTGAAGTCCAATTCACATTTTTGTTTTATTACCAAAAATAGTATAAGCTAGAATGTATTTGGTCTTCAAAGTTAATTCTCACCGGTAGTGATTACATCCGGCACTGTATACAGTTGATCACAGGCAGCTGTTAGAAAATGACTTAGCAGCAAATTAGTATTGAAGCAATTGGCAAAGCTTTCACCAAAATTTATCTAAAGACTAACACTGATTTGCTCTGAAGCAGTCTCCATACTAATCCTCACAAAACTTGTACTGGGTCAATCATAAAGGCGATAAAACATTTCTTATTTCAGTCAATATTAAGAATTCAATGTAACAAATATAACTACTAATAATACTGTATAATTCTAGGGACACATCAAAACTAACCATAGCTTACGCAATCTAATCCTTCACAGATGGTGATCGTAGCGAGCTTGAGGCTATGATCCAAACAACACCAAACAACTGCAAAAGAAAAAACATAAACATGCTTTAAAAAGCGACACTATACTGGCGCAGAACGCTTCCAGACCGGGCTTAGTATATCGCCTGCACATAAGGAATTAGTTTAAGGGAATGCTTAAACTTTACTCATAATTAACCCGACATCATTTTCATCACCATCCTTGCACTAAACGGTATCTTCAAGCAGCACGAGAAGCCAACATCTAGGTCCAATCGCTTCATCGGTGGCGAAGGGAAGGTTCGGCATAGTTTTGTCAATATTATTCGAGAACATTCCTGCAACTTTTAGATGCTTTGCTGCTTGTATCAATTTAATGTTGTCGTAGATCTTTAGTTAAACTAAATATAACGTAGATTTAACAAATTTAATTGTTTATTTGTACTCTTTAAACATTCTGTACAGGTCAAAAGCAACTTAACATCAAACAAATTACTTCAACAAGTCAGTAATTCTGTTAATGATTCAGATTTGGTTTTTGACCTGAAAATATTTGTTAAGGAACCTATACAGAAACAATAAGACTTTTTCAGGAAACAATCATCAAGCTTCAGTTTACATTAATTCGAGTCCAGCAGCAACTCAGATACAACTCAACACGGCGGTACACGTCTGATATATTCAGTTAACACTAATAATAAATGTGCCTTAACATTCAATATTGAAAAATGTGAAAACTATCGTCGTACTTCTATCATTCAATATGAGACCAGGCAAATTAGTCTTCTAAATCTCAACCAATATCTTAGCAAAACAGTTTATCAAACAAAATTAAAACATTGTTCCCAATAAGACAATACAAATATATATTGGAATTGCACGAGATAATTCCCCCATCACCATTTTACCACCGGACGTTCAGGCATACGGCGGGAATCCATCCTTTTGTGGTAGAGGTACCGTGCGTTCGAACGAAGCGATTCGAAGCATCGTTCCTTGTGCGTACCGCAAAGGATTGGAACAAGTTGCCAGCCTCTGTTTTTCCGTCCAAATATGATATTGGGACCTTCAAAAGTAGAGTGAATAGGCACTTACTAAGCTAGCGCTTACCATCTTCGACCAAATTCGACTTCACCAGGAGGGATGGTGGTCAAGCGCTAGCTTGTAAAACGTAAAAAAAAAGATACCCATGTTAAATATTCAGAGATCAGAGTAAAGATAAATAAATTTAATTTATTAAGAATCACAAAACATATTGATGTAAACATATTTATTACGTACAACGAAAGATTTCACATTACATTTGATAAGATAATATTGACTAATACAAATAATTGCTTCTCAATGTTTGTCGTTGTTTATATTTGTTATATGGTTTTTTAGACGTTCTCTTTGTACGCTATTTCTATTCTTGTCCTGTCAACATATACATTTTAATATTCTGCTTTACATATAATACGCTATGCCTGATAACTTTGGTAAGGGTTACTTTTACACGTTTTCTCTTAAGTCTCAATGATGTTGTTTTGTTATTTTTTCTAACATTTAAAATCTTTCTTCTATCTTCGTATTAGCTTTTGATGTCTTTTCATAACATTAAAATTATTTACTAAATAGCTTCTTATAGTATTTGTCAATTTACTATTTAATAATAATAGCATGAAGATACATTTATTAGTTATAATACGTAAAGCAATATACAGGGTGTCCCAAAAGGTTACGTACATAGGAGGAGAATCCCACATAACTACCGCATCCCCCCCGGGGCGCGGAGTATGCATAAAGCATTGCACTCTGAAAAAAAGGGGTGGTCACAAGGGTCACCAGAAAAATAAAATAAAATTTCCCCTCTGGGTATTAAAAAAAATAAAGGACATTTTTTAAAAACTTAACAATTTTACACCTTCTGGGGCAATTTTGTAACCAATGACCTACAAATATTGCTACATTAAAAAAAAAGCTATTATGTTATCGTCAATAACCCTTTATCAATATGAAATAAAAAAAAAACAATACAACTAACAAAGATTTTAAAGAAAATTAAAATTGACCCAGAAGGTTTTTAAGTTTTTAAAAAATGCCATTTATTTTTTTTTATTACCCAGAGGGGAATTTTTATTTTATTTTTCTGGTGACACTTGTGACCACCCCTATCATCCCCCTTCCTATGTACGTAACCTTTTGGGACAGCCTGTATATTTTCAGATTTCCATCATTAAGAATGTTACTTTCAACTGCTCCATTAAGTGTAAAATTTATGATTTTAATTGATGCGTTTACAATATCATATATATTTTTCTCATCATCTATTACATCAACAGTCGCAAGCCTAATGCCAACAATGGATCTGTCGGTTGCGGCGCGTCTCACACCAAGTCCCCGCGACCTCAGTCCTGCCCTGGCTATCGCTATACCGATGATGAAATCAGTTAACATCGTACCAACACAATGCTTCGATAATATGGCCTTTCATAATGAAAAAACTGATGACCAAGAAAACACAGATAGCAAAACGAGCAGACAAGAATCAACTGAAAGCAACAGTACTGTAAAAGCAAAGAATTATAAAAAGGAACTCTTCAGAGAAAATGCTGTTGATAAAATAGATGCTAGAACACCTCTTTTGAGAGATCATAAAATCGAATCACTGGACGAAACGAAACTGAGGGACAATAAAGTTGAAAAAAGAAAATCATCCGCATCAACATAACGTATAGAAGTTTATAACAATGTATGCGATCGCTTTTTTTCCAAAAGAGACCAAATATTTTAATAAATATCGATATTTAATGCTAAGAATTATTTGTATCGATTGAAAAGCACCGCAACATTTTTCAAATGTTTATTAATATTTTTAATAGTTAAGTTAATAAAAATATTTGATATCAACGTAAATTAAGATTCATATTTCCTATATTAATATTGATTATAATTTTTCAACGATGCATTTCTTATTTTGTTGCTAGTTTAACCACAAACGTCAAACAAATCTGAATAAATAACAAATAATATTGGTTAAGGTGCCGCATCTCCGAAAATTCCCGAATTATGACATCATATAAAATTAGACACATCTTTGAATAGTAAATCGTGCTTCAAATGTTTAAAATAAAACATAATATGGCCACGGAAAAGTAAAATTGGTTTCTTTTGCTTTGTTTATATTACATTAAATATATCTTTAAATTCAATGTCTTCAAAGAAAGAAACTCTCTATCCTTCCATTTTGTTTGCGTTTGTAAAAACATCTAATGGATTAAACTGCACTGCAGATATGTTAGGCTTTTAAAATACACACGTATCTGTGAATAAGAAAAATAAATAAAACTGTTAATTTTCTCTCCGAAATATGATTGATTCGTTTGACATTTACAGGAATGACTTAATTAGGAAAGTGTATATCGCACAGTAGAATTTGCTACACATATCTTCATATTATCATTAAAAATAATTAATAACAAAAAGGTAACTCTCAAAGCGTAAGTGATACCGTCTACACTAGTATTTAAACTTGTTGTGGACTATATTATGTAAAATTATCATACTCTTAAATCTTCACTAGTAAAGTTTAGTAACCTTTAGTAACTATTCATCACTAAATATTCATCATCTTAAGGTACCGACTGACTCAGTCAAGCAAATATTCGTGGAAAAAATCGGCTATCAACGAAATTGTTCGTCTCGAATATTAACATCGAGATAATGATCTACATATGTAGTTGGACGCTACCTTAACGTGTTACTTTAATAATTCTTAGATGAAAAATATCTTTACTCTATTCCTCATTCCTGATATTAAATTTAACCAATGTAACCGTGGGTTTCTGATACCTAAATCTCTGTATAAAATATATCGTCATCCCTGTCTTTTATCTTTAACAAAATAGAGATAACAATATGTTTTAAACGGGGATTTTAGTTTTAGAAACCGACGGTTTATTACATGTAAATATACATATAGCATAGTGTTAAAAGTTTTATATTTTAACAAAATAACATCACTAGAAACATATCATCAGCACTTTCTCTCATTCTTGATGTCGTATATTGTAACACTATGTATAAATAATATAATTTAGATAAATAAGAGTAGATAGAGTTAACAAAATTAATTGTGTTTAATATATCAAAAGCTCGTGAGTAGTTAAACCGACTTAAAATGTCCAAGTAAATATAATTTTTCATAATTAAGTTATAGATTTACGTAGTTACGTATCGAATGCATAATGTTGGATTGTAATAAAATGAAGCTATAAAATATTTTGCATAACGCAACTTGGAAACATTGATTTTTTAATAGTTTAATACTAAGTTAAAATAAAATTAATTAGAGTTATGTTATTTTTATTAGCGATTGTATCACTTTGAAATAAATGTCTAAATTAAGCGGGACCCTTGATGTGTTTTGAATAAAATATTTATTAGTGAGAACATTTTTATTAGCCCAATAATTGGAAAAAATAATTTATTGCTTTTTTTTACGCATAAAATGCAATGATTTTAATACAATTTAGATAGCACATATAGTTTTGTTTACGTAAATTTTAAATATATTTAATTTTAGCTATAAAACTGCTTAAATTGTATAACGAAACAAAAACGTACCAATTAGGCAATACTTATATTATAAATGCATTGCTTGATTATTGTTACTTTCGTAATTTTCTATAAAAATATCACACAAGTCTGTTCAAAGCTGTTTTTGCGGACCACGTAGAAAAAAAAAACATTCACTAAAAAATCAACAAACAATATTGAATCGTTATGATTAATTTTATTTAATTCTATATTTAAATTAAACCATATTTTAATTGATTTTTGTATATTTTATTGTAAGTTAATGAACAAGAAGTTACTCCATCCGAGACACTGTAATCTAATTGATTTAAACTAAGTTTTAATGCATATTTTAGTTAACGATATGTTATTGTTGTATGTTTTTATCAACTAAGTATTTACTTATTTACAGAAGTATTAAGTAGTAAGTTACTATGTATTTACAGAATAATTCAGCCATTGTTTAAATATTTTCTTCTCATATTTTTTTTCTTGTGAGAGCGTCAGTGGCTCAGGGGCAACCACTTGACTTGCAATCTGCAGGTCCTGGGTTCGAATCCCGCCATGTACCAATGTGTTTTTCGATTCCCGATTTACATATGTACATTTATCCGACGATCTTACGGTGAAAGAAAACATTGTGATCTAACCTGCACATATCCGAGAAGAAATTCAAAGATATGTGTGAAGTCAACCAACCCGCATTGGGCCAGCGTGGTTGACTATGGCCTAGTCACCCTAACTTAGGGTAGGCTCCGAGCCCCTCGGTGGGGACGTACAGTGAGCTGATGATGAAGAAGAAGATTTTTTTCTTAAGTACTCGTATGTAACAGTGTCTCATTTGGAGTGTGTCTTGAAAGATATATCATAAGGCTTACAGTGAATGAACAGGGCTTGTATCTTATTATATAGCATTCTATTTAAAATATACAATATATTATACAATTTTGAACAATACGAAAAAAAACAAAATTATTTGAAATATTGTTCATTAAACATGCAAAAATAAAAATGTGTTTTTTTTTTCTACATCCTGTATAACAATTGCAATAAACGTTCATGTATACTGTCTCTAATTCCCTTACTCAGAGACATTAATTGGCCACTCAAACGACCCTTAATTTAGGCTTGTCATACTTAATTTTCAATAAGAGTTCTTCGTATTCAAGGCTTTAGAAAGTTCCATATGAAACCTACATCATCAAATAGCCGAGTTTACTTGTTACTCAAGTTCCAGATCGCCGTCTCGTTCAATTTCCTCGGATATAGACTTTCTAACTTCAACTTATTTAACTCTTGTGAGCTGTTCTCCGTTCAGATGTATGCTTAAGTTACTCCTTGACTTAACTATATTGTTCAAATGTTTGCCAAGTTGGTTCAAAGGTTTACCTAATTTGCAGACACGCAATTTACTTCTGAAGTTTCGCTGAAATGAAATAAATTGGTACTTAACCCATATATGGACACCTATACCTATAATTCGCCAAGATATTGTTTTTAGAAAAATAACTGTGAACTTACATTGCCGTAATATATGCTCAAAACATACTGTACTATTATACTTCTTGCAAAAAAATAAGAGGAGAGAAAAAAAGTTAATAAAAATTTACGAAAATTGAGTAATTATTTATCAGTTCGGCAGAACATTTCAAAGTACTTATAAGAGCCCTTTCCATATTTTATATTCATGGATATTGAATGGAGTCCAACGTTATTCAATTTTTGAGTAATATTATTCATCTGTCGATACCACTTTAGCGTTACAAGATTCACTTATAGGAAAGTGGCACACATTTTTATTTATCGAAATACAATAAAGATCCATTTCCCTTACACTTAAAGAATTTTCACTAATCTTTTAATATTTCTGTAACTTTATATACTTTATAGCTGTCGCAGGCGACTCCGTTTGCACAGAATTAAAACAAAACTTAATAAGTAGCCTATGTATTCTTCTAGAATATATTCTATTATATATTCTATTAAATATCATCGAGACCCGTTCAGCTATTTTGGAGATACCTTCAAACAAACATCCATCCATCTATCTAAACTTCATTAATATTAGTAAGAAGTAAGTTTCCTCGAGAACAGTTACTAAAATACGTTTATTAAAAGCTAGCAAGTACTAAAAACTAGACAAAATATTAATAACTACATAAATCTGAATATTACTTAACAGTACCTAATATCAATGTAGGGGAAAAGTAGCAGCTCGGTCCATTCTCTCTTATTGTTCATATTTTTGTCAAATTTCGTCTCATATCCTTAAATTAGCCTAACGGGCGCGTGCGGCGTTTCAATTTGTAAGGGCGGGCCCTCAGCCCCTGCGCTCTCAGCCGTAAATAATGCCCTTTGTGAGCCCTTTTTGTGTCGTTTTACGCAATTTGAATATTCACTTATATTTTTATGTGGCTTCTGACATATTTTTATAAACTTTGCATTATTTTTGGACTTTTATTAGAATAAAGGGATAGTAAAACTGTTAATCTAACAGCTTATACGAGTAGATAGATAAATGTAGAGTAAATAAAAAGATGATACCATTAAGTATTCCTTCTATCTCTCTTCTTGCCTCTTATGGTAATAGGTGAGAGAAATCACTTTGCCTTTGTTACGTTTATTCACTAATTGTTTTCATTTCCATTCAACTTTAAACTTAGTTATAAAAATCTAAGAGATTCTCCAGCTGTTTAATGAAATGCTACACGCGTAGAGTCCATATTTTTGGTCCATATGAAGGCTTTATGAAAATGCTAACATAATTAAACGAACCCTTGTCACTCTGACGTCACCGGACTTACTCTGAAACGATTCTAATGAACGAAACTCTATATTATTTTATGTTCATTAAAATGTTATTACTTTAGTCACATTTATTCATACTTCATCATCATCAGCTCACTATACGTCCCCGCCGAGGGGCTCGGATCTTACCCTAAGTTAAGGGTGATTAGGCCATAGTCAACCACGCTGGCCAAGTACGGGTTGGTTGACTTCATACATATCTTTGAATTTCTTCAATTCTTCTTTTGAGGTTGCATCTCGAAGTTTTCCTTCAACTTAGAAACAACGAATAAATGTTCATACGTAAATCTAAAATCGAAAAACACATTGGTACATGGCGGGATTCGAATCCAGGACCTACAGATTGCAAGTCAAGTGTTTGACTCCTGAGCCACCGACGCAACTTAAACGATACATATATCTACTTTCAATGCTGATTAATATAATATAATTAAAGATTTAATGAAGGAAAAGAATATTTAAATGACAATTTAAAATTGTTATATTAAGTCATTTTGTTAAATATTTTAAGAGTGTTTTTTAAATTATTCTCTGACCTTTCTTCCTTCTTAATTCACTCATTGGGAGTAAATATACTTCTTATTTTTTACCACTGAATGTTAAAAATACACGACTTAATTGGAGTTCGTTAGATCACTAGCAACTAGCAGTAATTAAACATCCGTAACTACATGAGATGTTTCGTCAACACTTTAGGTTAAAAAAATTATGAATACGTTAGAAAACACTTCTCATTAATGGTCTAAAAATAAAGTAGAT